TTTAGGAATTCATCATTCTTATCATCAATTGCTAATGCCACTCTCTAAATCACCTTGCAAGAAGGCCTATCCTTAATTACGAGTTCATACAATTCCTAGCATTCCTAGTAATTAGTTCTGAAGTGCAGGAGCTTAAAGGCAATCAATATGCTATTGGGAGAAATTCCCCGGATCTAGACTTCCCCGTACGTTCCCATATCGACAAAATCAATAATCATGACAATGAATGAGTTAAACAAAGCAAGCATTAAGCAAGGAGGAAAATCCCTAACTAAAGATGAAAGAAAGCATATATCTTAAAGTAAGATGTTAAAACACAAATTCCATATATGAAAGTTTCACAAGACTACATTGATTCCCAACAACTATACAAGGTTTAGTTCACCATATTCATGGTGAAACTAGATGAACAATAATGAATGAAAGAAAGATAGAACCCTAGAAAGAGGAGGAGGTAGCCTGAGCATCCAAGATCTTCCTTCAAGGGGTGGAAAAGAGAGTGTTTGCTTCGTCTCTGCCAAAGATACAAACCCTAGGACGACCTAAAGCTTATATACTATTCTAAAATATACAGAAAATTAGGCCCAAGCCCAAAATAGTGCAGCTCAGCGGTAAGTGCGTGAGTTATTTTCCTCCCCTCAGCGGCCTTTTCACCCCTCAGCGGATCCACTGTGATTGCCTGAGTGCCGCTCAGCGGCAGTCCTTTTGCACTTTTTTTTATGTCTTTTCTGATTCCATCTCTATCCTTCTTCACTTCTTTCACCAAATTCACCTTAAAACCTGCATAAAAATGAAATCAAGCATAAACCTGTCCAGCTCTCTTATTTCTAAAAATATACCCAAAAGCATGATTTCAAGCTAGTTTCTAAGTGTTAAAGGTTGCTTTTAGTATCAATTTTAAGCATGAAAATAACAGTTTTTCAACTGTTATCACCTGTATGTACAGCCGTGTCTATTACTCAGCTAACCCTGAACATGGTACTAAGTTCCGTTTTTGATAATTATAAAATATTAACATCAAGGTTCAATATCATATCTGTATATGGCATACTAGCTTTACCACCCTACTTTTGAAAAACATCCAATGTTTGAAAAACACAATGTTTTGGGCTAGCTAAATTAGGATTATGCTAATATTAACTTTTATTTTATTTATATTGACTGAGAAATCAAATTTACTACCCAAAAACGTTTGCTAAAAAGTAGAAAATGGAAATACTTTGCCCTCTACGTGCGTTGAGAATTGCATAACCGAAGTTGGTGATATTCCTGTAGAATAAAAAAATGAGTTTAATTTGGATGTGCTAAGTACTTCATAATTTTTCTAAATGCAGGTAAAGTATTTGCAGATAGCAAAGAAATCTGCTACGCATGAGCCATACCGGTGGGTTAGGTATGTTACACAGGCAAATTCCTACGTTGCTCGTATATGATGCCTTCAAAAACATTGTTCCCCACCCACTTCAGTTTTTTCATTTTCCTTCCTCTTGCTCATCATTATACATATGCTTTGTTTTGTTTACTTTATTCTTTATTTGTAAATTTCATCTAAGTCGAATATAGATGACGTTAGTTGTTTGTCTTGTCATTCATTGCACAAATTCAACCTGATCATACAAGCTGGATGAATTACTTTCAAAACTTCTTTATCTTCCTAATTTCCCATCACATTCACCATCACTTTATCCATTTTAAATGAGTGTGTTTAGTCCATCAACTTAAATGCAAAATTAGTATTAGTCTGTTTCAGTTTAATGCATTTGGTCTCCAAATTTTAAAACTACTAAATGGATGTAGTCTTTTAATCTTATGGTGTTATATTTTTTTTACATGTTAAATGATATAAATAACTTAAACACTAACTTGAAATGTTATTTAATCCATAAAAAATATTCAAGATTAGAAACATTATATTTATTTTTAAAATTTAATAACTAGATTATATCAAAGTTTGAAATAGAGACAAATGTATTTAACTCTTTTAAATTTATAAAAATACCACCTTATTCACGTAGACACAAGGTCGAGGAGGTTGTTTTGGCAAGCTTTATGCATGTAACTTAAAGTTCAAAAGTCATTTTTTTTACTTTAAAATAGTTTTTTAAACCTAAAGCTACATAAAGAGAGGAACGTTTAAATAGTTCTTTACAGGTATGTATCGGACAAAAAATAAAATACTCTTTTTGAAAGCGAAACAAACCATTTTGAGGTAAATCACAATGCATATTTTCCATTTTGAGATGTTGTTTATCTTTATTCTCTTTTCTACTTTTTTTGTCCTCTAAACAATGGGATTTTCAAGGTGAGATATTAGTAATAGATATATAGATATATATATATATTATATATATAGAGAGCGATATATATTATCCTCCCACTTCTATTTTACTCAATTTTACATTTTTTTTCTTATAAAATTATAGATAATAATGACTTTCTCCAAATTGTGCTTGTTGAATGATAATGTTTTTATGAATATATAATTAATGGTGTAAAATTCCTAATAAGTTATCTATATTTGAACACCAAACACAATTATGGCAAGAGCTTATATAATTGATTATGAAGACGGGAAACATTTCCTTTTTCATACATTATGACTATATAAAGTACAATTCATTATGTCTTTAATTTGATGAAATATAAATTATATTAAGCGGGACACGGTTAATTATAGTCGATCTTAATTCAGTATGCACTCATTTAGAATCCAAATTTAATTACAAGGAAGATGATTGAAATGTTAATACTTAATTTAGATGAAAGATAATATGGTGATTCCATAAAAAATAAACTCTCATATTTTCTCTTCTTTCAAATCTATTAGGTAGATTTATCACTTTTTCACCTATTTTTTTTGTAAGCAATTCTTTAATTTCAATTGAATGAAAAACACACACAGGATCTTGAATTTTCATGATACTCCTATTCTCTCAGTACCCAGTCGAAAAGAACTTATATGGATCATTGTTCAGTTTCTTCCTGTCAAACGTCTCCCTTCTCGTATTAACTTTAATGCTTCTTGATGATATCGGAATTCTGCGGGATGTCACAGAATCTTTCTTTTCCAGAGAAAGTACTTATCTTTCCTTGTTTCAGAACTTAACCGTCAACCGTTGTCCTCTTTTTCCCTCTTTTATGTATGTTAAGTAACTTTAATTAAAATATAAAATGGCCGTGTTTGAAGTGAGAAGAGAGGGATTAATTTTAAATAACTCTAAATATCCCATAACGTAATACATATATTCTAATTAATCATCACCTTAGAATCTGTTACATCAAATTGTATTTAACTTCCATGAAACAAGCTTAAATATTAATATTAACTTAAATTCTCCCACTGGGTTCATGTGATGACTTGAAGATCTAAACTTACTTTAAGTGCGCACATTCATTAGACTCTCAAGTCATCATACCCTGTATGAAGTGAATGATCGGATCCTGGAGGGCAAAAGTCATGAACGCAAGAGTCTTCCCAGGTATCACAGAATCCCACCCCCCAAAGCTCAACATAACTTTAATTTCAAATCTTTTAACTTTATGTCTTAAAAGAGATATACATTTACCACAATCAATAATCCATGTATCTAACTTAATGTGGATTCCCAGTAGAATCAAGAGAAACATAACTTTAAGGGAATTCACAAGTGTCATACCGACCAGATATAACTATACATAGTCCGTAAAGATAGATAACATCATAATGTTAATATCGCCTTATCCATCATGCCCCTACTTTCCCCCTTTGGCCAATCCAAGTTTTGGGCGGTTGTGGTTAAGGCCTTTAGTAACGGATGCTCTCCCTCAAATCCGTACCCATAGACTTTCAATTCAACACGCTACGGTTCTGCACTTCTCGTTGACCGACAAACTATTTCAACTCAATGTGTTTAGCCCCCTTTGAGTATGGTCCTTTCGCGCAGCAGCCGGCTGCGGCGTATCACCCTATCCTCCTACTCCCGGCTAGCAATCCTGTCCATAATGTCCAGCCTCGATACAAAGTCCTGAACCACAACGCATGGAACCGTGGCCTCCAAGATGCCCGCCTTCGTTCCATGGGTGACGTAGCACCTGACTGATGGTTTTGCACTTTCCAAGAAATTGTCCTCCCGCACTAGATAACCATACCCAATGTGGATTTTCTTGACACCCACCTCCCGCTCGTCTGAATCGAGTACGCCAACATCTCACGCTGATCTGGCCTTTGTAGTGAGTGTCTCTTTGGTCCGTGTCCCTACTCAGCATTTCTTTGCGCGTTCCGTGATTCATTCCGGGATTCCTTTGATATCGGCCATAACTTCCCCCACAGCACCAACCACTATATCTGGCCGAGTACAAGTTGAGATCCATCACCTCCCAACCCTGCCGCATAAGGCTCGACTCCCTGGCCTTTTCGTTCCCTCATTCTGGGCCAGGCATCTTGA